AAAAAAAAAAAAAAAGGGCTCAGTCCCACAAGACACCCCCACCCACCTTCATATACCAGTGACAAGCCCATATTGTCACTGCTGCTTCTGACCCATCAGCTGAGTCGGAGGTTCCCCTGTCCCCCTCTTCAGGTTCAGTTAATTTGTTACAGCAGCTCACAGAACTCAGGAAAACCATTTACTTGCTAGGTCACTGGTTTATTATGAAAGGATGTAACTCAGGAGCGACCAGATGGTGGAGATGCAGAAGGTGAGGCTTTCATGCTCTTTCTGGGTGAGCCTCCTGCCCTGCAGTCTCTCACACGTCCCTTCTTATCATGTGCTCGAGGATTCTTTGTTCTCATTAACACTTTGGATTATGTCTTATAATCATTTACAGCTTCTAGTTTTCTAATGCCAGAATTGTCCCAAATTTGGGCCACGTGAGCCTCTGCCAGTTGTCTCTTCTTTCCTGTTGACACACCCCAGTGCTCTTTGCATGCTTCCTCACTTCCTAGAGTCATGTTCCCAGTTCGTACTCTCCCTGCCCCAGGCTGGAGTCAGTGTGTCTCCAAGTCGTTCTTGTGACTAATTTTTTTTTTTTTTTGCCTTTTATAATGTACAGAATATATAGGAACAGGAGCGTGTAAAATTTATAAATATGCGTATAGGGAGGTGAATGTGCAGACATATTTTATTAATGGAGTAAACATTGAGAAAGTTCCACAATCACAAGTCTAGCAGCTTCTCCCCAGCTTACTGTCAAGATCTAATAAGGAGCGTCTGTGTGCCGATGGCAGCTTCTGTGCCTCTGCTGAAGCCTTCGCTCCTGCTTGGAACGTTTCCTCCTCCATGGCCACGGTCCGTCCTTTCAGCCAACTTCCTCTGTTGCCGGCCAGCAGCTCCAGCACAAGCCTGCCCGGGTCCCTCTCTTTATCTACTGCTTGTGCTCTTCTTAACCAAACACTCATTATTTCCCTTCTCTTTCTCCTCACTAGGATGTAAAATCTTTGAGAGCCCTGTGCGTTTTTATCTTTGTATCCTCAGCATCTAAGTCAGTGCCATGATAAGCCTTTATTGATACCTGGCTGTATTTGTCTCCTCTTCCCTTGGTCCGGCCTTTGCCCACTCACCATCAGAATCTGATTGTCTAGCGCACGCTCCATCCCCAGCACCCTTTCTGCTCACCAGTGTCCCGGCAGGGCGAAGTAGGAGGTCCGTTTTCTGTGTTGATCCAAATCTCTTACCAAGCAGACCTTTTCACTATTGTTAAGTTCTAGGTCCACCCCAGGGACAGGATCTCCTTCTCCAGTCCTTTGTCTGGAGGCACTCGGTTTTGGCTCGACGACCATGGGCAGCCTTCTGCACAGGAGGCGTTCTGTTGCCTGCGTGGAACCCAGGGCCCAGGGGCGGCTGGTGGCCCCCTGCCACTGTGTGGCCGTGAGTCCAGAGAAACAGGCTGTGTTCAGAGTGGGTGGATCCTTGTCGTGACAGCAGAGCATACACACGTTAGGGAGTAGTAAAAGAAAAAGGCCAGGAGGAGAGGGTGGAGGAAGAACTTACATGCCAGGCGGAAGGATGTGGACTTTTCCCTGGAGTGACTGGGTAGCCGCTGAAGGCTGAGGAGGCAGGATTCCTTTTGGATTATTAGCTGCTAGAGCCATAGTGTGCATCTTGGCCCATCCTGTCTGGTCCTGCTGGCTTTCCCTGCAAGGTGCTCACCCTCACCTGGCAGGGACCCAGGTCGCTGCCCTCGCTGCGACTCTTGCTTCCCGGTCTGTCCTCTTTAGGGTAGTCCAGAGAGAGCTTTTCAAAGCACACCTTGTCATCTTGCTGCCCCCTCCTTCCCCGAGGACCTGCAGTGTCTTTCCACTCAGAATAGCACCCCGAGGCGTTGCTCGGTAAAGCTCAGGAGCTCTCTGCAGCTTTCCCCAGCAGCTCGCTCCCTGGCACTGTCCTCTCCCCCACCCCCGGCTCCCCCTGCCCCTCCCACAGTGGCTTCTTCCTCATAGATCTCAAAAGTGCAAGCTTGTTTCTGCACCTGCTATCCCCACTGCCAAGAGCCTCTCGCCCTTCATGTTTCCTTTTGTTCAGGCCTCTCCTCACACATCACCTTCTCTGGAAAGACCTCCCCTGCACACCCTCATCATCCATCTCCTTTCTTTGTTTTTCTTCTTTCTGGCGTGTGCGGCAGTCATTGTATTTACTTTATTGCCTACTGATACATGAGTTTCCTAATTTTGGGGTGTGGTGGAGGAGCCTTACTTACACGTTTTGCTCATGCTGTTCCGAGTGCCAAGATAGTACACAGAAGGGACTCAGTCAATACTTGGTGAATGAATGGGCCAAGCGCGGGCATTAAATCTCCCAGTGCTGCTCCTTCCCGGGCCTGGGGCCGCACCTCTGCTTATAGAGAAGGTATCCACGCCTTTATTGTAAGGACATTTGAAAGTATATAAAGAGTCCACGTGAGCCCAGCACAGTGCCTTGCAGATAAGCCATGACGGCCATCTCGTCACTCGGAGGCACCATACTGCCATCTTACTCGTTTCTAAGATAGCTTCACATGGAATGAACGGTGTCACTCGGATACCAGGTCATCAGAGATGATTTAAGAGCCCCAGCCTTCCTGAAGTGACATCTCCCCACCTCTCTCTTCCCACTTTTCATTCCCTCCTTGGCAAAGGCGGAGAACAAGGAAGGGCTGTTGGAGGTCATCCCAATGATGACATGGTCAGAGGAGCTGATCCGATTCCCGGGCCAAGCAAAGTTGGTATGAGTACACAGCACACACGAGGGTCCCTGTGTTTAAATGGGCTTTGTTGAGGGATGCAGTCAGGTACCCTAGCCCAAGTAATCATCACACTGGGAAAAGGAAGTCACAACTATAAGTAGATTCTCCTTTAAAAGCCTCCTTTGTGTTCGTCACCAGTTAAAGTTCTGAAATGAATTCTCTGTTATTTGGAAGGCATTGTGAGCAGGGTCCCTGTTGACCAACCTGAACCAGGAGGATAACCACCGCCTGTCACCAAAGAGACTTTGACTAGTGATCATAAATGAGGGGGATTAAATGCAAAGAAACTGTATTGAACATGTGCGATGCTGTGTTTTTTACAGTGCATTTCCTCTCCTGGGAAATGTCTTTATAAACACCTGGGAATGGGTGGTGATCACAGACCCGCCCTTCCCTACGAGTACCCTCAGGCACCAGCTTACTCTGGGCTAGTCAGAACTGGAGCTTCACCCCCTTCTTCCTTAGACCTTTGATCAGAATTGTTTGGCTTCCCCTCTGCTCTCTGCCAGTGGGGCTTTGGTTCTGGCCAGTGGAAGCCTCAGCCCAGGGTTGGTGGGGGCGGTTCTGACTCTCCTGTGCTGACTGGCTGGTTAGTTGGTTGGTTTGGGTGGGGGTGGCACGGCCCCTTCCTCTTCTTTCTGGAGCACTGAGCCTCACAGAATTTAGGGCACTTGCCAGAGTCTTAAACAACTCGTTAGTGTTGAAACTTCGATTTGAATTCCGTTCTGCAGACTTCACGAGATCAGTGCCCTAACCCCTGAGCTACGGAGCCCAATTCCTCAAACCCCAGCTTCCATTTTCTTGCCTGCTGACTCTCCTCGATTGAGTGACCTGCTGGATTCCTCTGGCCATTTCTAGTGCTGCCGCTCTATCCATTGGGTCAGCGTGTTGACGTTTCTCTTGGAGCTCTGTCCTCTGCCTATCCCCCAGTCACTGTACACGTTTTGCATCCTCATGTGGGTCTTTGCTGCTTTCCTTCTCTTCATTTGTGAGTTCCTGTATTTGTTCTGCCAGCTCAGACCGCCTTTGATGAAGCCCACAGTGCACCAGCAGCCTTATAAAGAGAGTGGTCATTGGGCAGATGGCAGAAAGGGAACACAGGAGCCTGGCCTGCCCGTGCTGACCCACAAGCCTGAGGAGTGGGTCTTGAGGGTTAAGATGTTGGGGAGCTCTGTGGGCACCCCAGCTCCTGGGCGCCTTGCTGCTTGTATGAGGATGCCAAGGAATCAGAGCGCCCTTGAGCGCTGGAGCTCCACGGCATGGACATACCCAAAAGGAGGTTGGGTATGCTTTAGCAGCGCCCAGCTTTGAGCGAACTAAAGGGTATTTAATGTTCTGCATTGAGTGGACTTTTCTGTTTAGTCTGTCAATACCGTTTCAGAATGACTTCTACAATAAATAAGTGCTGTGGTTACATCTCCTCCTTTCCAAAAAATCCAAGCTTTTGGTCAGTTTGAGGTTTGATGAAGATGCTTACTCACTTCAGGATTTTCTGTCTGGGCCCCGTCAGGTTATTTTCCTTTGTCAGTTGAGCCCTGGTTAACGATGCTTGATTCAGGCATGGTCTGGACTTGTCTGAGAAGCTCTTCTGGCGCCAGGAGCCCTGAGAAGCCTAGTAACCCTGTGTCTGCTGTTGAGCTTCTCTCAGGGTCATCTGGGGTTAAATTTGGCCAAACCCAAGTTGATTAGCCATGGCCTTTAATCTGTATTGCTTAATCAACTATCGTCTAACCTTTGAGGTCTGTGTGCTCAGCCCAAGCGGAAGGAGAGGTAGGGGATGTGGTTACCAGGTGAACTGTGTGTCACTTACAAAGGGATCGGCCCCCCAGGACCGTGTCCTCACTACCTTTGTGTTTCACGTGATAACATACCAGTGGGTTCGCTGTGGTCCGTTGTGGGCTCTGATGCAGTGAGGAGAGGCTAGAAAGACGCAAAAGGGAGCAGAGTAGTAGGGTCGACCTAGAGGTGGAGGAATCAGGGATGTAAGGAGAAAGGACAAGGCTGGGTCAGGGAGGTGTCTGGGCAGCCCAGTGTGCTCTCTTTTGTGAAATATCTTCCAGGGATAGAGACCAAGAATTTAAAATTCTGTTGAGTTCAACTTACAGGGTTCCAGGCCTAAATGGTCATCCCATCACTTTTCTAAAAAAGGAGACTGTGCCCGGCAAACATTGTGTGCACGCATGCAAACCACTTGCCCCAAGCACTGACTGTCCTGCTGTTTGCCCCTGCCAGCAAAAACCCGGGCGGCCGACTTGTTGGTGAATCCCCTGGATCCACGGAACGCAGATAAGATTAGAGTTAAAATTGCCGACCTGGGAAATGCTTGTTGGGTGGTAAGTAGAGCTTTCTTTCTAGAACATTTTGCTCATGATCATGTATTAGAAGATACTTTTTTTCCTTTTTAGTGTCTGTTTTCCTCCGTAGTAATACAGTGTGTTCCCTTCCAGCATAAACACTTCACAGAAGACATCCAGACGCGTCAGTATAGATCCATAGAGGTTTTGATAGGAGCAGGTTACAGTACGCCTGCTGATATTTGGAGTACAGCGTGTATGGTAAGAACGGCCGTGGCCATTTTCTTCTGTGTAGAGGCTCATGCCCTTACTGCCCACGATGGGACGGTGCCACTGCTGCATGTGGTCTGTGTTTTCCTGACTGTGAGGTTTGTCCCCTGTGGGATGGATGAGGGCAAGGTTGCTGTGTTGAGTGTCTTGAGAAGCGGAAGAATTCTTCCCAGGCGTGTCTGGTTTAGTCCTGTGATAGTCTCTGGTCAAGGCCCTGTTCAGGCCACCGCCCCGAGAATCACACCCTCTGCTGTGGTGACAGAGTCACTTCAAGGAATGCTTCCTGGTTTCCGAAAGCTTGCAGGCCGTATGCAGGTTTGCCCTTCACTTGTGCGGTGGAGGACGATGAAGCCGTGGTGTCTGAGGGGAAGATTGAGGTCGGGAGGCGGGAACCCTTCTTGGTGACCTCTGACAAACCTTACCGCAGAGGAAAGGATTTCCCTCTACGCCAGCGTTTACTGTCTCTCCTTTTATAAGGCAAACTCTAGAGAATATTCTGGCTTATTGCTGTAGGCTGTTCACTGACTTTTGGGACACAGTAGCTGCACGTATCCCCTCTGACTGAGTCTGTTCCCAGAGAGAACACGCAGGCGTCTCTTGTCAGGGCCTCAGGACACACCTCTTCTTTCACCCCTGTGTCATCATCTCTTCTGGCTGCATCGCAAGGTTGCTTGTGTTTACACTGCGCCCCAGGCCCTCACCGGGGCATCTTTTTCTCACTTAACTGCTGAGCATGAGTGGGCCTCATCCATAAGCCAATTTCAGTTTCTCTTTCTTGGCCCTGTTTCCTAGCCAGGGAGGTGGGGGTGGGGGGGGGGGTGTGTGTTTGCTTGGGGTGCTGTTTCGTGTTTTTCTTACTTTATTTTTTTCCGCAAATTCTCTGATATATTTAAAACAAGAGTCTTTGTGTATGAAACTTGGCATTTGTCTTCTTACTAAAAAGAGCAATGACAAATAAACGTCATTATCTGTTGTTCAGAGATTAACAAATCTTTGGAGTTTGCCGGGCTGCATGCCCTCCGATGCTACAGTAAAAAGCGTGGTCCGAGATGATATGAAAAAATGTAGATGTTTGTGTGAAGTTATCAAGATCTCAGGCAACAGATGTGGCCAAATAGATCGGAAACAGTGTGCCTTTCTGTTGCCACTTTGCTCTGACAAATCATACCAGATAATAATATTTAAAACCAAGTTTTTCAGTGAGTATCAGAAACTTAGGGCTTGTTGGGCTAGGTATGGAAAAGAATGGTGAAAAGAATTGGTGGGCATGTGATGGCTGCTTTGAATTCGGAGACTGCTGTGCGGAGAGGGACAGGGCGGGCCGGGACTCCCGGGGGGGGGGCCCAGGGGGGCCGGGGGGTGGGGGGGGGCCGGGACTCCCGGGGGGGGGGGGGGGGGGCCTGGAAGCCAATGGAGCCCGAGGCTGGGTCAGTAGGCAGGGAGGGAAATGTTCCATTTCAGGATGTGGTGAGGTCAAGTCTTACGTGTCCTCAGCAACACAGAAGGGGCCATACCAGGCTGCCCTGAATTAGACTGAGGGCTCTTTCAACTCTGAAATCCTGTGCTTCTAATTTGGGGTGTTAAGTTTTGGTGATATAACCAGAAAAATAGGACAGGATCACAGAGGTAGGAGAATAATGGGCTGTCAGTACCCTTTTGTACCAGGTTGTCTGTCTTGCCTTCCATGAGGTAAGGACTTGTCCCCTCACGTGGTGTCCGCATCCTGGCCACTTCCGCTCCTGTGAACCGTGATACAGAAGTAGCAGACTGTCTCCTTTCTCCTACCTCCTCTTCCCCCAGATTAGGTGTAAACTCCCTCAGGGCTTCGAGGGCTATTTGGGTGTTTTTTTTTTTTAATTTTTAAATCAGTTGGTTGTCGTCAGGGTGAATTTTTTTTTCCCCCTGGAAGGGGGCAAGCCTTATTCCCCACCCCCACCTTCCATCCCGAAGGGCGAGGCTGAGAGGCTGAGAGGTCCCTTTTGTTCTTTCTAGAGAACCTGGTAAACACAAGGCAGTGTTTCCCCACCCCATCTTTGTACTGAAGTTTAGAAGTACAACAGTATATTAAATTCATGATCCTAAGCTGTATTAAAGCTCCAGATGGGTGGTGGTGGTGTGACGTGGAGGCCTTTGATGACATGAATGGCATTAAGTCTTACAGACGCCCGGGTGGAGTTGAGAGCCACTGGGAGGCAGCTGGTGCTCATGCTCATTGATGGGGGTCCTCGCTGTTGTCAGGAAGGTGGGCAACAAAATAAGGCAGAGTAACTGAAATATGTCTCTTGTTGAACCTCTTTTCCTTTTCTTGAGTTTTGGGGGCCCTCCAGGTGTAAGTGGGGGTGATCTAAAAATTCTCTGTGGGCTGAGGGATGGACTGCTCTGCACTTGTGTGTCAGGGCCCCAGGATAGGTGGCTTCTGCGGGCTCCACAGTGAGCCCCAGTGAGTGCCCTCGGAGTAAGAAAAGCTAGTCTGACAGACTTCGCCCTCCTTCCTCAGCACTGGGCACATCACAGAAAGAATAGGCGCCCTTATTTATTCAGAATGGTGGGGAGCGGCATTTCAAGAAAGAGGCGTGTGGTCTTCCCAGAACTGGAGAACAGAGTTTGGTCCGGGGGCACGTCCTTGTAGGGGATCTGGTCGAGTACAGAGGAGGAATCCACGGTTCCCAAGCATTAACAAGCCCAAGTATTAAACTAGTAACCGTAAAGGTTGTGCTGGGAGTGACTTCGTGAGTTGCATGAAAGCAGGCCGGAAAGCCCAGAGGCCCACATTTCCAGTGTGACCCTGCCTCTGCTTCGTTGAGCAGGTCCTTTTTGTTAGGAAAATCTCGTCCCTCTTCAGAGAACTAGGAGCAGATAACGTGACAGGAGAGCCTCCGTCGTACTTCTCCTCTTCCTTTTTTCTTTTAAATCATTTCTTTGTGGGCTTCTTTGATTTGAGAGTTTCGTTGGAAATAACATGGGTGCTAATCAGAATGGTCATCTTTCAAAGAACGCTCAGTTAACATATTTTAGTGTTAGGCTGTAAGAATTGGACTCAACCCGATTGAAATGTTTTTGAAAACTAACTAGAAGAGTGAGCGAGGGCTCAAGCGCAGGGATAAGGAGCAGCCGTGGCACTGGCCACGGGGCTCCCGCAGTGGCTCCTCCAGGAGGGTCTCCCCTTTTCCTCATGACTTGTCCCAGGCGGGGAAGAATCCCCTGGCCATTCACCATGAAATCCGACTGTTCCCTTTGGATCTGTGGCCACGTGTGAGGTTTTGTACCCTGATCTGAGATGCGTATTTCTTGTTCATTGGGTGGAGGGGAGAGGCCCCAGGTGAGGACCCTCCCTGGCCCTGCGGCGCTCGCGTGACCAGCTGACTCTCTGTGACACTGGGCATGTCCAGGTCCTGCGGGATCCTGAGTTCATGAACTGGTGCTCTCACGGGGTAGCTGACGACCATCTTGTCACCCCACTTCCCTCCTTTCTTTAAAAAAAAAAAAAAAAGCTGAGGCGACGTGGTCGTGGACCGCGTGCGCCCACCCTTGGTTTCTGGAAGGCCGTGGTGGTGAGCCCCTCCCCCCCACTCTGGTCAGGGCCTGGGGAGGAAATGGGGGGATGCGGGAGGGCAGGGCCGGGAGCATCAGTGCTCGGGGTCCAGGCCCCTGAGTGCTTTTCAGGACAGCAAGATCTAATACAGAATAGAAGTGTACAAAAGCCAAAAATAGGATTTAGCCTTCTCCTATTTAAAAAAAGATTTTCAAAACATGGTATTGGATCCACACAGCAACGACAGTTGCCATCTTTATATATCGTTAGCAGATTAAACTCATGGTCCTGAGGGCTGAGGGTTTTCTCGAGGGCCAGGAGAGAAGGCTGCCCAGCAGAAACGGAAACACTAGGGCCTCCCCCCCGCAGCTGGCATGCTGGGGGGTGGGCAGGTAGTGGCAGCCCAGGAGGCAGGCCAGCTCTCCCTGTGCCCCTCACCGGCTTCCTCCTGGCCCAGGGCACAGCGCAGGAGCCACAGAACCTTCTTTGTGGCTCTAGGTTTTCCTTCGGTTGAATCAGAAATGAAAGAAATGATGAGACGCTGAAAATAGCTCTTGGTTACTGAGACACGAGGGTCTTGGCTTCACCTGATGTCCGGGGGCCAGACGAGCCTGTGGGTTGAGGGCAGGCATGAGTCCGCCCGGGCCAGGATCGAGTCCGGGTCCCGCCATTCAGAGTGGGGGTGCGGTCCCCAGCCATGCCTGCACACGGCCGCTGGTCGACGTGCTTCCTGCCAGATGGGGGGGGGAGGGGCGTAGGCTTTACATCCTCCAGTAGAGGAGATGTAGAATATTTCTGAAATTTCTTTGAACTTTTTGGAAGGAAGAAAAAAGTTGGTGTTGAGCTTTTTTAGAAGCTCTTTGGTTTGATCAGATCCTCATAAAATGTAGGTCTCTTGTACAAGGAGAGAAAGTTGCTGCCTTGGGGCCGCTTCACAGAGTGCTTAGCATGTCATCTGTTGTATCCTAGGCATTTGAGCTGGCAACGGGAGATTATTTGTTTGAACCGCATTCTGGGGAAGACTATTCCAGAGATGAAGGTGAGTATCGCTGCCTGCCGCATATCTGAGGCTGGGTCTCCTGAGAGGCCTGAGCTTCTGGAAAGTAATGTTTCTGTACTGAAATAGAGCTGTGTTTTGGTTTTCAAACGCTTTTCCTTGAGCTTGAAGCCCCCTCAGGCACAGTGGTTGGGCAGCTACGTGGAGAGCTCTTGGCCGGAGCTCGCCCCTCCCTCTTGCTTGCCTCGGGCTTGGTGCCCAGCGGCCAGGAGAGGACAGGCTGTGTGGACCGCAGAGCCTTTCTGCGGCCCTTTCGTCCACTGATCTGCTGCCCATTGCTCTTGCCTGTTGGGGAGCTGAGTTGAAAACCTGGGAATTCTGGCTTGAATTCCAGCTGTAAACCTGACCATCTCCATGCTTCCTTGCTTGCAGTGCTGGGGTGGCCTGGGGTGGGCTGGCACCAGTCACCGTGAATGCTCCAGACGGTGCCTGAGGCCCGCCAGCCCCGCGAGCCTCTGCATGGATGTGCGCAGACATTGTTGATTGGAATCGATTTCTGATTTTTTACTAATTTCAATTTTTTCCCCTCTTCTTTTATCCCATCCTTCCCTATGCCCTTCCCATTCCCGTATCCTTTTTTTCTCTCCTCCATAGACCACATAGCCCACATCATAGAGCTGCTAGGCAGTATCCCAAGGCACTTTGCTCTGTCTGGAAAATATTCTCGGGAATTCTTCAATCGCAGAGGTAGTACCTCTTCCTTTTGAAAAGCGCCATGATGCAGACAGAAACGGGATAGCGGCTGCTCATTGTAGCATTAATGGTGACAGACCTGTCTCCTAAATTCAAAAAGCAACCTAGCAGAATTCCTCTGCTGATTTAAAAGTTGAGAGGGAAGGCCACACCCAGCCTGGGCTGTGGTCGCCCCGTGCACCGGCCACCATCCAGGTCGCGCTCTGTTTCTGTCTGCGCGGGCGGTCACAGTGTCTGCATGCAGTGTACTGATTAAACTGTCGTGTGTTTCTGTTTTGCTGGCAATGTTTCCCAATGCAGATCACATAGCATTGATCATTGAACTGCTGGGGAAAGTCCCTCGAAAATACGCTATGTTGGGGAAATATTCCAAGGAGTTTTTCACCAGAAAAGGTAACGGTATTTATGCAACGCTAATTTTCAGCATAATCCTCTCCCAAAAGGAGAAATTGTGCATTCCCATTTGGGCAGTGGAGAAAGACCTGGACCTTTACAGCTGGGGAATTCTGCTGAAGAAAGCTCCCAAGACATAAGCTTGCACCATCTCCTATCTGTGGAGTACGGATTTTGTAAGAGCACAACCCTCCTGAAACCCTTGGTCTCCTTCCCACCTCCCTCTCCTAATCTAAGCCCAATCTGTATATTCGTGGATTTGTAAAAAGGAGTTTAAGTGATTTTTAGGAACCAGCTAGACTTTCCATTTTCTATGTTCTTGGAGCCCCCAGCATTTCTGCCATGGAGTAGATGCAGCCTGGGGACCGGACCGAATGTCCCTCCGTGTGTCGTCTTGGGTCTGTTTGAGCTGCTGGGGAGTGGGTATGGGCCTGTGAAACCCTGCACCCCGCACTCTGAGAAATCAAGTTTTGTTCTGTTGCATTATTCACACTGCGTTATAGCTGATTTACTTTAATACTACAGTTCTGTTGATCTTCCCTTGACGGGACCCTGAACAGCCGTTTCTTTGCCTTGTATAGTCTCTAATTAGTGATCAGTTTTTTGAAATACCCAAAAGCCCCAGGAATTTATTTTTAAAGGACCGCTCCCCATTGCCATGTTCTTTTGTGTGAGCATGTTGGTCCTCTTAATTCATGTTTTTCCAGCTTGGATTTTTTTGGCGGGGGGTGAGGGCTGCAACACCTTTTAATAAAGAACTTTTAAAGTTGGTGTGAGCAGGACATGGAGTTCCTAGAAGTTTTTGAAAGTCCTTGGTACTCTGTTCCTCTCTGCTTTAGCCAGATTTGGAGAACTGGTTTTGACTTTCTATTTTCCTGTGAGATAGATAAGGTATTCTTTTAGAGGAATAATTCTTTTTTATACCCTTCGGTGATGTTGACCTAACCAGTCCCCATTTGGTCCTCTATATATGCCTGTTAAATACACAGAGACTTGAGAACTAACCGTGCCGAAGCTGGTGGTTTCCTGTCCCACTTTGAGCACAGCGACCACGACTCCCAGCTGTTCTGGGATCACCCAGTGGGCAACCTCTAAAATATGTAACTAGGTGCAGTTATTTTCTTACTATCTTTTAAAAGCTTATCACAGGAGAAAAGATTGTCAGGGGGAACTGTTCTTCAGATATAGCCTGTATTAATTTTGGTTCCTAGAATCTATGTGGTCTTCGCATCTGGGTCACATGAGCGAGCCCGAGGGTTCCCCTCACATGTGGACCTAGGAGGCTTGAGGGGGAGGGGCCAAGAGCTACCAGCCCAGTCTGTCATGAAAGAGGGGATATTACTGACCTACCGATGCTCCAGGGGAGGGGACAGGCACTGCAGGGCACTGGACCACAGCACCTGCTCCTTTAGCCAAGCAGAGAGTCTGCCGTAGGCGCATGAGCAGGTTCCAGCATCAGGCTGTGGGGGAGCCTCATTTCCCACGCGGGCATCAGGCATGGTGGGACCGACAGCCGATAAAGGCACACGGGGCTATTTCCTTTAGTTGTTCTGCAGCAAGGAGCTGCTTAGAATGCCTGGGCTCTGCGATTCTCTTAGTCCATTGTCTGTGGGTTGGGAACTGCATACTGCACACACTGGGGAGGAAGAGGAACAGGGACAAAAGGAGGGGGCCTGAACGGTGAGAAAATGAAGCTGCAGGAGTTATCTGAAGTCACGTGCTCAGGTTTGTTCCTGGAGGCAGCCGCTCTGAGCCCCTTGTGCCCACTGGGCTTTGCCTGAGCCCCAGACCACCAGGGACGGCACCTGCCGAGGACCAGCCCAGACCCAGCATGGGGCCCGGAGCGCTCGCCTCGCCTTGCCCCACCTGGCAGGTGCTGTCTTTCGAGGACAGGCTGATGAGTGATGCATGGCAACCCGATGACGGGTCGCCGGCAGGTTTCAGGGTTACAGGTCCCTGTCCTGTAGCCCTCGGTGCTGGAAGGTGGTGTTCCCGCCGGCCTTTTTGTCAGCACTGCCGCTCTTTGGACCCATCATGGTCTGTGCACGACCACTGTCTGCTCCCCAATGGGAGTACGAAGTGCTGCTGGGTTGTCAGGTCATGCATGTGTGCTTTAGGACTCGTGTGCGTGGGGGTTTTTTTGAGGAGCTTGTTTGAAGGTGAGCTGCACAGTGGAAATGCATTTGGCATCCTTGGTAAAGGTAGACCGAAAACATTTCAACGTGGTGTTACTTTTTTTCCTTCATTTGGATATGAGGGAGAGTTTGTGATGAGGCAGGAAATCCTCTGAAATGACTGGGGTTTGGGACGTAGGTCCTGATCATTATTTATTTATAATAACTGGAGATGAGAAGGGATTTAGGGTTGCTACAGAAGTCACAGAAATAGTATTATGATGAGTGAGGGCCTGTCATGAAAACAGATTTCACCATGTCCCTGAGGACAAGGGGAAGGATGTTACGTTAAAAATGGGTTTTGGCACGCCTCCCTAAGTAATGTGTGTGAATATACATTTTGGAAGTAATGAGATCTTAAATGTATCCATTAAAAAAATTTTTTAAAAAATATCTTTGTACCAGAACTGATAGAGAAAAGCAAAATCAAAAACTTACTAAATTGCTTATGTCACTTTGGAAAACAGCCAGTGGCTGAGAGGGAGTGAACAGCACGTTTTTGCGCTCTCTGCCCTCCTGGGTGGGAAGCAGACTTCATCCCCACCAGGAGGCCAGGGAAGGAGAGTAGGCTCTGTGTGTTAGAGCTGAAGATCAAGTGCAGCTCAGTGACATCTTCTTGGTTATAATTCTGGGTAAGATGGTTGTTACTAGTTTGAATTATTTCTTGGCCAGGAATTTTTAAATGGAGTTGGATTTTTTGGCAGAGGATATAATTCCTGTTCTCACCCTGTTAGGGTTTAATAACCAGCAAGTTACTCCTTCAGATGTGGACCTTAACCACCAAAGATGACTCATAAAAGTCATCTTGATCAGTGTGTTAAGATGTGCCCCAGTAGAAATAAGCATCTCTGTGAATTCTGTCCCTGTTTTGTCCTCATACAGCCTGAAGGTGTATGTCCCCCGCCAAAAATTCCTATGTGGGAATCCTACCCCCTCCCCCACAAAGGTGATGGTATTAGGAGGTGGGGCCTTTGGAAAGTACAGAAGGTCATGAGGGTGGAGCCCTTGTGGAAAAGACCCCAAACGGCTCCCTTGCCACGTGTGCCCTGTGAGGAGGCCATGAGGAGTCCGTGGCCCAGAAGAGAGCCCTCAGCAGAAGCCAGCCCTGCTGACTGGCCGCCTGACCTCAGACTACCAGCCTCCAGGACCGTGGGGAAGAAATTCATGTTGATTTATAAGCCACTCAGTTGTATTTTGCGATGGCAGCCAGAACAGGCTAGGACACGTCCCCAGGAAGCGAGCCGTCCTCCAGAAGCACCCCAGCCCTCAAGTGATGGGGTACAAACAGCCCAGTCAGGAGCCCGCCGCCCTGCGCTGCTCAGCAGACGTCGTGTAGACCCGTCGGCCCCCTCAGTTTAGTAAAGCTTACTGTGCTGAGAAGGGAAGTATCAGAGGAGTTGACTTTTTTTAAAAAAACGGTTTGATTGTAGGTAAGGCCATCGAGTGTGTTGGAATGTGTGGGAGTGACTGTGTGTGTTGGACCAAAGACCTTAAATTGCAATTGGAAATTTCAAAGCACACACAGAGACTGCGTGTGCAGAGCGTTCGCAGCTCCGGCCCTCGCGTCCCCTGTGCCTGGCCTGGACAGACTGAGAACTGAAGGGAACTCTTTAAAAGAGACGCTGTGTTCCGTCTTCTTCATTTTGCGTGTTTGAGATGAAAATTGTTAGAAGGATTTTAGCTTCCCCCCGGAATCACCCCAGATCACCAGACTGCCTGATTTCTAGGGCGCGTGGGGCCTCCGCGGCCCTGTTGCCGGGCTGGGCGTGGCGAGCTGGCGCTTGTCGGTCGCTGCGGGGTGCCAGGGACCGCCGGGGACCGCCAGCCCGGGGCTGATCTCCGCGGGAGCTGGACGCGGTGCAAGTCACTAGAAAAGGTCCTCACGCTAGTGAGTCTGAAACTTTTAAAACGTGGACGACTTTCACGACATTGCCTTTGAACATCAGTTCTGAGTTGTGAGATTCTCTGCGAGATCAGGGGCTCGCTGTGTCTTGTTTGCCGCGGGATTCCCCACAGCCGACTGCAGAGTGGGCACCATAAGTACTTAATGTATTGGGGAACCTGAACCCTGTTCAGCCTTGGTTTCAGGTGGAAACCTTTGTGAGCCAGAAGCAGGTGGCGCTGTGTTCCTCTCGGCCCGGGACGGCCCCGTGGCACCCCCGCACCCTCACACAGGGCCGTTTGAAGGCTGCATGGTCAAGGCCCCCCGGCTTGGGTTGGGGTGCAAGACGGGAGGGTGCTGTAGTGATGATGTGGCACCAAGGGGCCGACTGTCGTGACACCGAACATGGCAGGCATCGTGGAAGAGAACAGACCCCTGGCCACAGCCGATCATAGGTCCGAATCAGTGTTTTCATTGTTTCGTTTTGAATTTGAGCGTATGATGCCAGAAAAGTAGTGAAATTATTGCCGTAACAGGTTCAGTTAAGTCCTATTATAGCTCTTCCCATTTAGTCCTGTTGTTCCTTGTGAGGGGCTAATTAGTGGAGTGTTTGTTTTTACTGCATGCATCAACAGTGTTGGGATTCTTTTAGTTATTATTTTGTTGTAAGCTTTATACCTTTTTTTAAATAATAGCTTTATTGAGATGTAATCTACATACCATACAACTCACCCTTTTTAAGGTGTACAGTTCAGTAGTTTTTAGTGTATTCCCGAGTTAGGAAGCCGGCAGCACCATCTGATTTCAGAGTGTCTTCATTCTCAACAGGAAAGCCTGCCCCTGTTAGTACTCGCTCTGCGTTCTCCGCACCCTCACCCCCGGCCGCCTCTGATCGGCTCTCTGCCCCCTGCGATTTCCCTCTTCTGGACACTTCCTGTGAATGGACTCCTGCAGTGTGTGGACGTGGTGACAGTTTCTCCCAGTCCCTCCGATGCTCCGGGCCTGCGGCTCTGTGTGCGTGCCGAGACCGTGCTTGCTGGCCCCACTCGTCAGTTGACAGCCGTGCGGGTTGTTTCCACTTTTTGGCTCTTAGGAATAATGCTGCTGTGAACATTGTACAGATGTTTGTGTGGACATGTTTTTATTTCTCTTGAATGCGCATGTGTGATAGTTGAAGTATAAAACTTTAATTTTGATGAAGTCCAACCTTTTACGTTTTCTTTTGTTACTTGTACTTTTTAAAAATTTTTTTTTAATTAACATATAATGTATTATTGGTTTCAGGGGTCCAGGTCTGTGATTCGTCAGTCTTATATAACACCCAGTGCTTGTTACAGCACATGCCCTCCCTGGTGGCCGTCACCCCGTGTGACTTGTACTTTTGATGTCTCATCAGGAAACCATTGCCTACTTCAAGGTCATGGAGGATTATCCTTCTGTTTTCTACTGAGAATTTTTTTTAAAGTAGGCTCCATGCCTAGTGAGGAGCCCAACATGGAGCTTGAACTCATGACGCTGAGATCAAGAGTCAGAAGCTTAACTGACTGAGCCACCAGCTCAGTCATGATCTCAGGGTTGTGAGATCAGTCCCACTTCGGGCTCTGCGCTGGGTGTGGAGTCTGCTTGGATTCTGTCTCTCCCTCTGCTCCTCCCCACCCCCTCGTGCACACGTGTGCACATGCTCTCTCTAAAAAATAAAAATTAAAATTAAAAAGCACTCTGATAATCTGGGATTGGCAAATATATTTGCAGTCCCAAAGCCTTGACTTTGGGGATGTGTGGGGCTGGGGGCTGCCGCTGAGGGCAGGGCTGTCCATCTGGCCTTGCTGGGCTCGGCATTCTTTCAGAAGAAAAAGAAGTTCAGTTTAAAAAATAAAGACTGTCACTATTAAGTGTCTAATTATTTGCAAACTTTGAGTGAAACCTATCTTGGTATATTTTCCTAGGCAAGAAAAAATCATCAAGGTACAAATTTGTTGACTTGTCAGGAGCTACTTGTACAATAGGAACAAATGGGAAAAAATGGTCTCAATTTTGGTCTCTCTTTTTTTTCTCCCTTAAGCGTTTTATTACTTGATTTTGTATCATAAGTGGTGGTGGAGGATTGGCTGTATTCTGAGTGTGTGGTTTGCGGGGCTGGAGCCGGTGAGGGGACCTGAGGTCCTCACCAGGTGAGGCTGTCCTGCGGTCGCTGCACAGGCCTGGGGGCTTAGGGTTTATTACATAACATTTATCAACTATTGTTTTCTTTTTTTTATTTCTATTTCAAATTTTTATTTAAATTCTAGTTAATGTACAGTGCAATATTGGTTTCAGGAGTAGAATTCAGTGATCCATCACTTACCTACAACACCCAGTGCTCATCACCGCAAGTGCCCTCCTTGTGCCCATCCCCCATCTA